AAATACGATTTTATTACACAATTGACCTACGCTCCAATTAATAACACTCATATGAGTAGTAAATATATAGAATATTACGTCTTCATTCCAATAAAAGAAAATCATATGAAAACATCAAACTTACAGCTTCAATTCATAAAACTCTATATTTCAGGAATGAAGTGTCATCCATTTTCATATAGGAGACTCTTCATTAGTTCACCTAACTTCAATTTTTACAGATATAATGTCAGTCATTTAATTTTTATGTTAATTGAAAAAAAGTAGGGGCGAGTTCGGTTTTGACCTAAAACTAGGTGATTTTATCTAGGGACGAGTGGAAATCCGACTCAGTGTGATTTTATCTTTCAAATTTCGAAATCACGAGTTATTAGGTTAAGTATATACGCTCTAAAGTTTCACGTTTTCTGCTTAGTTGTTTAAAAGTATCAGAATAATATATATGTTGTCGAAAGTACAGTTTAGATTAATACATATTTTCTCAGTCATAAAAGTTATGTGATTAAACACAAAAGTACTATTAATATAAAAGAAAAGGAAAAATTCACGAAACACGACTAAAAACATTTGATAATTTCAAAATAGATTTGTCATGCTTTTATTCCCTAAATAAGAATAATTGCTGCCAAGTTTTGAAAATGCCGTCATGTTTAAAGTCTGGTACTGCCAAAATATGACAATAATTAGTCCTATTTAGAGAATAAAATCATGGGATTCCTATTTTGGAATGAAAAATGTATTCACTGCTATTTAGAGCAACTTCCCAAAAGAAAATCATTAGCATGCAACAATAAACAAAATGTAAATTGCGATTTAAAATATCCAAATATTGATAATATAGCTAGAGACTAAAGTGTATATATAAGTGTTACACTTAATTAAAACATAAATATGAAATTGTAATATTTTATGTATCATAATAAATCTTGTATCAAACATTAAGAGCCCGTTTGGTGACTCCGTGTTTTTGCTTATTCGTCAACTTCTTAACCAACAGGTAACTTTTTTATTTTACGTGTTGAATTGTGTAATACTATGTAATAAGAAAAAGTAAGGTTGAAGTTACTTTTCTGGCTGTATTGGCCAAAGTTACTGTAGATGACCATTTTAGCTATTTTTCATATACCCCTAGTAATTTTTTCTTCATTTTAATAACAAAATATATTTTAAATATAATTGTTCATAAATCAGCAGAATCAATCAATATAGCCACTTCAGCCAGAACTTCATAAATTTCAGCAGGATCAGCCAACTCGGATGATTCCAGTGTTACCAAATGAGTTCTAACTTTCTAGAATTCAGAATTAAGAACTAAATAATATATCACACTTAATGATCAATAAAAAAAGTTGCATATTTTAAAAATATGGATTCGTTTAGTTCGATTTTTAGAGGTGAAAAACAAAATCAACCAATCACGATGCAGTTTGGTTTTTTGAATTTGTTTTTGAATTTGTTGCGACTTGGTTTGTTTTACCTGCAATTCGGGTTTTCTTTATTCGGTTTTCGATTTTGTCTATTCACCAGAATGAAGTATGGGACATGCAGCGCTGGAGGGAGGAAATGTTGCCCCCTCAAAGCCTTAAAAGTAAAAAAAAAACATGGGGAATTCTGTTGGCAGCCCTATTTTTGCTAAACACACACCATAACCGATGTTATTTTTCCTAATCACAACTATACCCTTAAAACTTAACGCCCGTCAGTTGAATTTAACGTCTGCTCATTTCCACGTGCTCCGGCCATTTATCTGTTGTCTGAGCTTGGAAGCTGTCTCGAGAAAGCGAGACGAATGATTCTAGTCCATAGATATATCCACGATGAGTAAGCGAAAAGAGACCGCATCTGAAAGTGAAGCCACCGTGTCGTCGTCGACCGAGAAGGAGAAGTCCGGTTCTTGAAGCGGAAGCTCTCTCGAGAAGGTGACTAAGAAGTCTCGAACCAGCATCATTCTCAAGCTTGCCGTTTGTCTCTTTGGAACAGGTAGTTGTTGACATGTAATTATTCAATTGATTGTGACCATAAGCATGTTCTTTTCATTTGATTGTTTAGAATTTGCACTATATTTGAAAATGTTATACTCCCTCCGTCCCCCAATTAAGTTCCCGGTTTCACTTCACACATATTAAGAAAATAAATTTGACTTAATGTGAAGTGCACTGTTCAAACACTGTTTGGCACTGTTTTGATGTAGATAATTTGCCAAATAAGGAAAGTATTGAAGTGTGAACTTAATTTAGGAATTGCCCAAATAAAAAATTGGGAACTTAATTGGGGGACAGAGGGAGTAAAAGTTTAGTAACAGTTGTGAAAGTAAGGAGTACGTTCAGGGGCGGATTGGGCCTAGCACTAGGGAGGGCCTAGGCCCAACCTCAATTTTTTATTTTTTAAAACTAGTATGTAGGTATAAAAATCGGGCCTATCCTCAAAAGAACAAAAAAAACTTAGGACATGTTTACTTCACGGGTTACTAAACGGTGCTTATTAAGACCCGCGTTAATAAGCGGCGCATAAAATAAGCAATGTTGTAAGATCGTGTTTACTTCAAAGAGTTCAAAACACCGTTTAAGATTAAAATGTCCAAAATAACCCTATACATATATAGACACACAATCATTCATGAACACAAGTATATAATATAATATGTGGGGTCACCTCGTACGTGTACCCATACCCCCTTCCGGGGGCGGAGCCAGAAAAATGACTCAGCGTGGTCGAAATCAAATTTACATAGAATCAAAACGGTAGATTATTTTTAGACAATACCCGAATTGAATGTAGCTTAGATAAATGATAGTTTAAATGAAACTAATAGAGTATATGTAGTTAATATACTTCGTATATGTCACATACGGAGTATATTATAAACTTGTTTTATACGGGTTGAGTTGAGTACCTTAAATGAGACCCATTGTCTTACGTACCCTAATACTCTATGGTTCTCTTCGATCTTACTCGGTTTAGTATCAAGATTTCTTACTAGAAAAGAATCATTTATTGAGTAGACACTCGTAGTAGTAAGATATGTTGTCTTTGCTCTATCCCTAAGTCATGTCACGTAAGTAATGAGTGAATTACACGCTATTTTGTGAATATAATTAATATTACGCATCACAATTTTACTAATTTCAAACTTAAATAGTGCTGATTTTGCAGAAATCATAACTTTTTACTCGTTATGAGTTACGAGAGCCATAATATATCAAATCGAAGATATTTCAGATCTCTACACTCTTGAATTTTCAGCGGGGTCGGCTGACCACCCTGACCCCCTAGTAGCTCCGCGCCTGCCCCCTTCCCCGCCCCCGCTTTACCCCACCCTTAACCCCTACCCCCACCTTATCCTACTCTACTCCTACCCCTACCCTACCTTACCTCGACCCCAACCTACCCCACCCTACCCCTTACCCTGCCTTACCCCAACGGGATGGGGCCGATGGTAGGGGTAGGGGGTTGGGGTAATGGGGTAGGGTAGTAAGGGGCCTGGAGGTAGGGTAGGATGGGGTCAGGGTGGGGCCAATGTGGTAGGGGTAGGGGGTTAGGGTAGGGTGGTAAGAGCCTAGGGGTTAGGGGTCGAGTGGGGCGAGGTAGGGGTAGGTTGATCGGGGTGGGACCGAGATGGGGGCATGTGGTAGGGGTGGGGTACGCAGGGTGGGGTAATGGTCGAGTAGGGTAGGGGTAAGGAGTAAGGTATGAGGATGGAGATAGTGGGTAGGATGGGGTCGGGGTGGGGTTGTGGTATTAGGGTAGGGCGGGGTGGGGTAGCGGGAAGAGGGGTAACAATATGGTAAGGGCAAGATGTAAATTTGGAAACTGAAGAAGTTTAAAGTGCGGCTAAGTAAGAAAGCTGCTTTTTAACTGTGACTTGCAGAGGCTATTCATCGATCAATCAAGCTTGAGGTACACATTTTCACACACACCTACACACTCATGTTTGTGAAGAGTATTTTTTTGTCTGTATACAGACATAACACATTTTCAAATACGTTATGTCTGTATACAGACAAAAAAATACTCTTCACAAACATAAGTGTGTAGGTGTGTGTATGAAAAATGTGTACCAATAGTTTTTTTTGATTCATCGATCGACTATTTGCAATTCGGCAAAAACCCAAACCCCTATACTCTTCCACTTCTTCGCTACTTCGCCAGTCAGTGGTCCGTTTGGCCTTCTTCGTCAGACTGTCGGCGCACGACGGCAAGGCTGTCGGCTTAGCCTCTAGCTCAGTAGCCTCTTTGCGCTAATCACTCTCGCCTCTCATCTCTCTAGAACTCAACTGTTCAAGTGCTCTGCCAGCCATTTTCCCTCTTCATTGCCTGGCCGTCTTGCTGGTAAGTTTGTTTTTTTGTTATTCTATTTCTGCTAACTGCTATTTTACCAAGTTTGTTTAGCTGTGCCACATATTTGGGTGAATTTTATTCAATTTAAGTCATTTGATCATTTGAGTGAGCCACTCACTAGTTTTAACATTTAGTATGAATTTATTATGAATGTGATTTTTGACTTTGGCATTGATTCTTCTCGTTGTAATCGCTAGCGTTGAAAGAGTATTTTCGGCAATAAATATTGTGAAGGGTAGTTTGAGCAACCAGATGAATGATGACTCGCTCAATGGTAGACTTATTGTTTATATAAAAAAGACATCTTATTGAAAATTGACAATGATCTCATCAAATGATATTTGTCAATAAAAACTCATAGATAACAGTTGTAAAGTTGTAACTTTTTTGTATTTGACTTTGATGAAAACTCTTCATCCTAAAATATTTAATTTTGTCTTTGATTATTTGTTACAATGGATGTTATTTTATACTTGGAAATAAAATCTGTGAAATAGACATTATGATATTAAATTTTGACTTTTTATGTGCAATATGCATTAGTTAATTAAATTTAGGCCCCACATGACGGCCAAAGCTAGATCTGCCCCTGAGTACGTTCAGGCACAAACAGAGCTCATAGAAATGTATCAATGACCAAAACTCTTCATCTTATATGTAATGTTTAATACCATAAGCATGAGAAGTGTATCTTTAGGAGCTAAGGAAAACATAAAAAAAGTTTTTGAAAAGTTTACATATGTCTTCGCTTTAGATGTCATGGTCTTTATTCTAGCATTTTCGAAGTTCCAAATGTGCCCTTAAGGATAAGTGTAGTGGTATGTTACCAGATCCCAATGCTAGAGAATGGTTGATTCAGGAGGATTAAAGGTCTATCTTTAGGAGCTACAATGCACCAAACATATATGCCGCAAACAAGTCATCCTCCAACAAGGGGAAATTACCTAGGTATAGAATGAGAACTTTAAATTGTAAGCAAAATAGTAGAGTTTTGTTAGGTACATTTTTATGAACACTGAAAATGCTTGTAGCCCAAATAAGAAACTAAAAATCAGGTTTTAGTTTGAAGGAACAATGCTAATGCCATATCAACCAATAGTGGTGCTGATATTCCTCCAAACATGAACCCTGGGTTGCTGAAATTGTTTTGAACATCAGAAGGGAATATTCCAGAAAACTTCAGGAGGTAAATAATATTTATTTCTATTGGAACTGCGGGCATTTAAACTAATTCAATAATTGTGTGGATCTATCATCTATGTGAGTATTAAGTGGAGAGAAATGTTAAAAATTCTTGTGAATTTGTTTATTTAGTTCTTCAAAGAAAATAGACTACTATACTCTCATAGTCCCCATTTGTTAGATTTGCATCCTTTGTAGTCAATCTCGGAGTTATGTTCGGTTCCCAAGTCTAAACATCACAATTTTCATACTTTTCTCAAGCTATGTTTCAAAGAAAATAGACTACTATACTTTTCATACTTTTCCCAACGCCTAACGGGAGTTGGGCTGCCAGTGCATCCCAAACATCCGCGTGATAAGGATGTTAACGACGGCTCACTTAGGGCCCGTTTGGTATGATGTAAAGTAAACACTTTGCGTGTAAAGTGTGGGGATGTAAACATTTTACACCGTTTGTTTTAAATATTTGATGTAAACTGTAGGACACTTTTTTAAAACATTTTACACTGTACCATGTAAAATAGTTATCAAGGGCTGTAAACTAGTTTACATCGATTAATTAATACCGAGTATGACTATTTAATACCGAGTAAATTCGCAATTGCTATGCGGAATTTGTTTTTTCTGCTAGGTTCTACACATACCAAAAGCAAAAGTGCAGAACCTTTGGCGTTAATAATAATACTCCGTAATAGCTATCAGTTATGTTTGCGAATTGATAATAGCCTACGTACTCATTTTCAAAAAGCTTATTACTTTAATTACATTATACATTCGAATAGCTAAAAAGAATTGCTGTTAGCTAACCTATTTGTTTCTATATCAAATCAATCTGCCTTTCAAGGGAATAGCATAGAAGGCAAAGTTAGCGGATCGAGTGGCGTTGCTTCCACTTTTACGTATGGGTTTGTTTTTAGAGCAACATTGCATTTATTTTGCATCTATTTTAAAAATAGATTACATACCTCACCAAACAATACCTCACCAAACAACGTATTTTTATTTTACATGTAAAATGATTACAGCCCTACACTTTACATGCAATCATTTTGCATGTAAAGTTTTAATATGTAAAGAACCAAACGCCCCCTTAGTGATTGTTGTGAAGGGGCAATTTAGATAATTGAGTTAATTTGACTTTTTATTATTTAATGAAGGGGCTGTGATAAGTAGTAAATAGAATTACCCAAAAAACATGTGAAAGGAATATAAATTATGGGGATGTTCTTGGGTAATATTTTTGTCTAGCCCAGTCGTCCAACGGCCCAAGAACAGACTAACCGCAGCAGTCAACCGGATCCACGAACGTCAAGTGCCAAGTCCACGGACCGCTCTACCGACGACGCTTGGCCGCCCTGCGCCGTACCCTTCTCGGCTTCTCAGTCGACGCGTACGCTTCCAGCAGGCAGCAGTCCTCACTCCTCACTTCCTCATCCTTCTGGTGCCCCCTGCTTACTGCTTCAGGCTTAACGCCTTCACCGGAATCACCGCTTCAGCGGCTCAGCCCTTCAGGTATTCCTCCTCCTCCGACTTCCTTCCTTATTAAGGGCCTCACTGTTTTAGAGTTTAAAGCTTTTTCTTTTATTGATTAATATGATTGTTTGATTAGTTTATCAATTGATTTCATTCATAATTGTTTACTGTTTATAAGTAATTAGTTCATTTGTTGTTTGTTGATTGTATGTAATGAGTGTTGGTTTTATAATTTATTGATTTTTTCAGGTAAAAGTTTGCAATTAGGATTAGATCTATAAATTTAATTATTTCAAGGTGTAATAGAAATGGTTGAATCTTGATGGGGAAAGAAAAAAAAGAGGAGAAGATTAGAGAAAGTGGCCCTTAGTAAAAAAAAAAGGTTCGATGAAAAAATTTGTTTGTGTGAAGAAATCAAATCCTAAATGTCCTCCTCAAGACATGAACTTAGGGGAGAATAATGATTTAACTATCGAAAATGAAACGGTTCAGAATGATCATGTCACAGGAGGTGAAAATTTGGAATTTGATTTGATAGTAATGTTAGTGTGCAAGCAAAAATTGATTTGGATGATACGAATGTTTCAACTTTAATTACTTGTCCTTTAATTACGTAATTAACCTTGGGCGATGCGCCTTGACCTTCTCGGCCGCTCCAAACATGCTTTGACAAATTTATTTTGAAACTGCGATTCTATCATGTTCAATTTAACGAATTTAAGTTTTTACTTTATTATAAAGATCCTGAAATATTACTATGCATGTTAGTTTAGATAGATTATTTTTTACATTTTTTTAAGATTAGGCCCATTTTAAACTATCGGCCCTGCCGCCCTAGGCCTTCAAACATACAGGACTGGCCCTGATTGATATAATTGCCACTCTGAAGCTATGTGTGTGTAGGCATATGTATATATGTATGCATAATAGCTTTTCTTTCCAAATTTCTATTGTTTCTTTTATAACTGATCTTTCTTAATTAAATTGAAAAATTATTTATTAACAATATACGAGTATATAGCTTGAAGTTGAGAACCAGAGAGCACAACACAATTAGTGAGTTTGTTTCTTATTGTTGAGTGTAAAATTGAAATACATTGTTTCATGTTTTGAAAAACTTATATTTATACTCCGTACTTCGTTTCTTCCATGGGTAGTTCTTAGTGATAAAAATGTCTGACTACAATTTTACTTTAAAGGTTTTAACTTCTCAAGTCGTGAATGTATAGTTTGCAAACTTTTAGACTCTGCATTTATAACTTTTTCTAGGCTCCGCTGGACGACACATCATGCTAACTGTTCATTTGACCAGTGTTCTGTTTGAAAAAAATTATATCACGTCATCAGATTTCGTTGCTGGGAGTTTGCTTTTACAGTCTTGTCCAGGGTCAAATCCAACAGTCACAGCAAAATCATAACATTAGGAATTGTTTTTTTTTTGTTGCAGAAAACCAACCGAGGGTTATTATTGCCTCAACATAGTCACTTTTGTCTTAAATGGCTTGATCAAAATCTTTGTCACACAATAGAAGATCAGAGATTGATCCCATCAAAGAAGAGTTGAACTTAGCCCTACAAAGAAGAAGACTTATATTTTGCCTCCTCATCGCCCAAAAGCTTATAGACAGCTCCAATGCAAATCAAACTTTTCATCCTCCAGAACATCAAATGACACAAACATACATATACATTACAAGCAGGTTTTATAGACAATAATCAAATTCTTCTAATATCCTTCATTTCCTGCGAAGATGTATTTTTTGAGCGAATTTCATTGTATATCTTCTTCTTCATCAAATTTCCGATTGAAAAAAATTGGATCTTTTCCCCTAAACCCACTTTGCTCAATCTATTATCCACCTCATTCCAATTCGCCATTCACTGAGAGGCACTCAATTGAGAAGTACCAGAGGGACAGCTGGATGTACAAGAACCAATTGGAGCAGCCATCCTCCTTCTGCCCACTCCCAGCTGACCCAAACTTTGGGATCATGGACTATGATAACGTTGCTCAGAAGCAGATTCCTGAGCTCCAGAAGTTGCTTGACTTGCTTCAAGAGAAGCGAGTGGAAAATGGCAATGCTGGGAAGAGTTGTCCTACTAATGTGTTTCTGGTAGGAGCGGGGCCTGGGGACCCAGAGTTGTTGACTCTTAAGGCGTTGAGAGTGATTCAGAATGCTGATTTGCTGCTATATGATAGATTGGTTTCCAATGATGTGCTCAACCTGGTGGGTCCTCATGTCAGGCTTCTATATGTTGGCAAAACTGCTGGTTACCACAGCAGAACACAGGTTAGCTCTATGAACTGGATTTGTTGTTCTTGATTGAATCTAATCAATTTCAGAATAGGGTGGAACTGATATATGTGCAAACAAGAGTAGTCACAATATGCAGTAAGCTATGAGCCAACATTTGAGGTTTTGCAGGTAGAAATTCATGAGTTGCTTCTTAGTTTTGCTGAAGTTGGGGCCACTGTTGTGCGGTTAAAAGGAGGGGATCCCTTGGTGAGCAGTTTTTTCTTTTTGGCATTTTCAGTACTTTACATTTTAATACCAACTGGAGTCTGTTATGATACCAGTTACATACATTTTGGTGAATAGGTGTTTGGGCGGGGTGGGGAAGAGATGGACTTTTTACGACAACGAGGAATTGAAGTGAAAGTCATACCTGGTATGAAACTTTTAGCATTGTGATAGGAATCAGCCTAGTTAGTATTTTATTAAGGGGCAGAAGAAGAGAAATAAGGGGTCTAGGGGGTCAAATAGCTAATTAGTTGTTTGTTGGTTCCTGCGTGGACTGTTACTATAAATAGAAGGGGATGGTAGCTAAATAGGGAGGCGATCATTGAATTGGCATTTGGCTTGGAGAGTGGGCTTCTCGAACAGTCCCAGGGCTTGTATACGTACTCTTATTACTTCTCATTCAATAAACACACTTCCATCACTTCTCTGCATAATCTCTCTGGATCTATTATTGTTTTTGCATGATTACTACCAGTGTTCTATCATTAGTATCAGAACATTACGTTTCTGGTGATCGCAACGGTAATCAGAAAAGTGACGCAATCCAGAAAAAAAAAATTGTTCGAAGCTGTGAATGGTTCGGACTAGAGCCAAAATGGAACAGAGGATTGAAGCGGTTGAACGCAGTCAGGTAGCGATGAAAGAAAGGTTGCTGCGATTGGAAGCTAAGATGGGAACGATGATGGAACGATTGACAGGGAGGATGAAAGCTATGAGCGAGAGAGGGAAATCGCGATCTCATCATCACCATCATTTGTGGTCGTCATCAATTTCTACCATGTTGTCGTTGCCAACTGCGGAGGTTTATTCGCAATCGCGAGAAACTCTTTCCCGTTCTAAGGCTTTGTCGCGAACAGTTTATCCTCAATCATCTCCATCGCAACTCTTTTCTCCCAGTTCATCCCTAAGTGCGACACGACCGAGAGGAAAAGCTTCGCAGTCGCAGTCGCTAACGACTTCACCCAGTTCGCAATCGCGAACCTCATCTTCCACTTTGCAGTCGCGACCTCCTTCTCACAAGTCACAATCGCAACCTTTTTCTACTTGTTCGCAGATGGCACCTCAAGCCGCTCATCACAGTTCACAGACTTCGTCCCTATCAGTGATGAGTTCACAAGTTTCTTCTCAATCGCTAGCAACTCCTTCCAGCCCTCGGTATGCGTCGCGAGAAGATACTGTCAGTTCGCAGGCTACATCAAATGAGCAGGTGTCCATTACTAAACATCATATCAGCCCAGGAAAGGAGATTGACGTGCATCTATCAATTTGTGCTTATGGCTTGGTACCGGAGAACAAATTTAATATTGGGTGTTTAATTGGATTGTATTCCAGAAGCAATGCTACATATGACAGGAGATTAGAAACTTCTGATGTCCAAAGGTATGCTAGTGCCATAGACCAAAACTCAGAAGCAATTAAATTTTTGGTTGATATAGGTTATGAACCTGGATTGGGTGTTTTAATGGATATTGGGCTCAGTTATGCATCAAACCTGACTTTGGAGGGGCTGAATAAGATTGATGGTTTCAGATTTGATAGTGATACTTATATGAAGTATATTCAAAATGGAATGGGGATTATACTTGCTGGGAATGATAAGAAATATGTTGGTTTGCTTCTACACCCATATTCATTTGGAAGCAGAGTCTTAATTGCGTATGAAATGGGAGTTGCTGTCAGTCATAGGTCAATGGGAGTAGTGTCAAGGGGAGTTACAGTTTGTTCTAGTTCAGTACTCCCGGAAGAGCAGATTCAGGTTGAGGAGAATGTTGGTGTTCATAGCATGAACAAAAATTCTGCTAGGGGTGATGATGGATTTACTCAAAACAGTGCTTCTCAAGAGACTAAAGCAACTACACCATTCATAAAGCTTCTATTCGTTGAGCGTATCCTTCCTATTGATGCGGTGAATAAAGCAGGAGTTATTTCATATTTTGTATATCTCCCTGAAAGGGGTGAATTACCCCAATGGCAAACTAAAGTTGCTCGGGCACTGGTATATGTTACACCTGGGACAACCGGATATACAAGGCTGGTCATGGAACAGGGGATTGACCCTAATTTCAGACAGCCTCTTAATTCATCCAATGATGACGTTGGTGAGCAGACTGTCTGGGCTTTAGGCAATGTTGTTAGTGATGCTCCAACATATAGAGACCTTGTTCTTGGTCAGGCTGCACTTTTACAATTGCTAGATCAGCTCAATGAGCAAGTGGTTGGCATAAAGGAAACTGATGCCACTTCTGATTGCTCCTGGGAGTCTCACCTTTATTGTTCGAAACTGATCCATGAGTTGAACAGTACTCCAGAAATACTATTAAGATTGACACAGGGGAGAGGAAAACACGTGGTTGTGCTTGATCATCAGATGCATAGACCTGTTGACATTTTTAAATTGTGGAGTTCACCTCCCATAATCTCAGTTTTCGCCTTGCCTGATGGAAGTTTCAGCATGCATTTGCTTGAGCAACCAACCCCAATGAGTATTCCAGGACTCAAAATGTTCCAACTGGAAACGCCAGAGATGCAGATGCTGGGAGAAGTCTTGGGCACGTGGAGTGGACCTAGTGGCAGTGTACTGAGTTCTGTCTTACCTTCCTCGGTTGCTGATGTGAAGACTGAGACTTACAGTCCCGAAGCTGACTTTGTATCCTCAATAGGAGATTCTGTAAGAGATTTGACATCAGGCAGTGAGAGAGATAACAACCTTGGCCAAAAGGATCACTATCTTGACAAAGAGTTTGACTGGATACCAAAACAAAGAAGACTATTCGAGCTGAAGTACTGGGAAGGCAGAGGAGCAAGGATAAAGCGCACTGGCATGGCTGTTTCTCACTCAGTTACTCCCCACCTTGAGGGCAAGGTGGTTGTTTAGGGGGGGAGTATTGATAGGAATCAGCCTAGTTAGTATTTTATTAAGGGGCAGAAGAAGAGAAATAAGGGGTCTAGGGGGTCAAATAGCTAATTAGTTGTTTGTTGGTCCCTGCGTGGACTGTTACTATAAATAGAAGGGGATGGTAGCTAAATAGGGAGGCGATCATTGAATTGGCATTTGGCTTGGAGAGTGGGCTTCTCGAACAGTCCCAGGGCTTGTATACGTACTCTTATTACTTCTCATTCAATAAACACACTTCCATCACTTCTCTGCATAATCTCTCTGGATCTATTATTGTTTTTGCATGATTACTACCAGTGTTCTATCACATTGTGAAGACAAGTCCACTTTGAACAACAATTTGAATAACATACTACCTCCGTCCCTAAAAGAACTTCCTACCGCGGTTTACGATGTTTGACCAACGATAAAGTTCAATGATCCCCATCAAAACTCAGATCATTTTTAGTAAATAAAATTTATATATTCAGAAACTACATGTTTGACCAACGATTGAGAGTGATTTAAGTTGACCAAGTAAATAGCAAGGTTCGAAATTGCGAATTGCGTAGTCATGGCGTTCTTTTAATATTGCATATTGCGTAAGCCTCATTGCGCAATGAGGCGTATAGCTGAGGCGTAATATTATATATATATATATATATATATATATATATATATATATATATATACAAACATAATAAAAAATAAACATATTCATCAAAAGTCATCAAATGTTATATTAAAACAAACCATAAGAGGCCAAGCAAAGTAACATGTTCAAACTTCAAAGTACCATAGAATACCAAAACATTCTGAATCATTTATCAAAACAAAAATCTAAGATATGAAAATTTAAATTAATTAGATTGATTGACTGAAAAATTCAATCAATAACTACTGGTTTGAGATAGGGATCATAAGATCAATTATAAAAATTTAAAAGTGGGCCGAGTGGGCCCAAATAATACCCTTACACCCTGACCTCCTATTGCGTACGCCTCAGAGCGCCTTATTGCGTATCCAATATTGCGTACGCCTCAGTGCAATATTGCGTACATCACACTCCCAGTGCCATATGCAATGCCTTTTACGCCATAGTCCAGGAATTAGCTGAGGCGCGCCATGAGGCGCAATTGCATTGCGCAATTACAAACAATGGTAAATAGTGGAATGAAAGTTCTTTTAGCGACGCAGGGGTATGGCATTGGATCTGCCCTTGAAGGATTAAAGATGGAGGAATGTCAAAGATAAAGCAATTTCAAAATCCTAAAACGAAAAATAGATGAAAAAACAGCTTTAAGAGGTGTTGAAACTTCAAAGGAGGAGTTGCTTAGGTGTATATTATAAAGAGATCATCTCAGGACCACATATATTCATACCATATTCTCATTGGACCCAAGTAATGTTTGTGTTAACTTTTAAATACTTTTTTCCAAATCAACTTTTAAATACTTCATTACTTGTTTTTAACATTCTCATGACATGAAAATCATTTTATCCTGATGGGTTAATGTGTGTAGGAATTACTGCAGCATCCGGAATAGCAGCAGAGCTTGGAATCCCGTTGACCCACCGTGGGGTCTCTAATAGTGTTAGGTTTTTGACAGGCCACTCAGGAAAAGGAGGAACAGAAGAGCCTCTATATGTAACAGCAGAGAATGCAGTAGCAGACCTGGATTCCACCTTGGTTGTTTATATGGGACTGTCAACTCTTCCATCTCTGGTCTCAAAGTTGATGCATCATGGCGGCCTACCCCCTGATACACCTGCTGCTGCTGTCGAACGAGGGACCACACTACAACAACGCTCTGTAAGTTATTAATGCATATCTGCAGCATTGGTTTCATTTTTTTTATTACGTGGGGACCCGCATATGCTACACCCAAGAAGTGCACTTGGTAACCCTCTGTCCTCCATCCGCCTTGTGAACCTAGCCAAAAAGGACCACAAGGGAGGTAAGCTAGTCTAGGCATAGCAAGCAGGCTCAAACCAAGAAGCCCAATGAGCCGATCAGTAGAACCAATGACAAGTGAACTTGCAACGTCATGGTTGCTAGTCGAACTAGAGCACCAACTCAGGTGCCCCCCACCCACCCCACCCACCCACCCCCGGTTTGAGATCAAGAAGACAGCTTACATTATTACATTCCTCTGCAATGAGATAGTAATACATAATATAATCAAACATTAACTTGAGTTTATAATGCCAAAAATAATGTACCAATTCAATGGTGTACTTTTACACTTATTTTGGTGTAGCTTTATTGCATACTTTTTTCTTTAAAATGAATTCAGGTATTTGCGGAATTGAACAATCTAGCAGATGAAGTAGCTTCACACCAACTGGTATCACCAACTTTGATCATCATTGGGAAGGTTGTTGCACTTTCACCTTTGTGGCCATGTTCGATTGAAGCTGAGAGGGCTCCAGTATTGGATGAGGCCAAATTGTAGGCGGAGCAAATGCTCTCAGTCTCAGATTGGGCAAGCGTTATTTGGAGGGAATAATATATGGCCATTGGTGTTTTCTTAATGTTCAGTAGGGACCCACCTTGTTGCTACCTTGGGTGCTTAATTGCCCATGAATTTGATAAGCTGTGCCGTTAACTTATTGAGAGGAAGGAAAGGCATTGGAGTCAGGTTACATGGCATTTTTTTTGAAAGGAAAATGATGGTTGGATTAATGATAAGGGGCATGTGGCATTGGAGAACAAACTGAACAACATATTTGTTGGATAGACAACCAGGCAAGTCTTGGGCGCTCTTTTTGCATATATGTGGGATACTGGCATATTGGCTGTTCTGCTATTAATCCCATCCAAGAGCAGGCTAATAACAGCCCAGATAGGCTACTTTTCAAGTTATCTTCTCAAAAGAAAGTTTCCAAAGACAGAAAATGCGGTTCTGGCAAGGGTGGTTTGGCTCATGAGCCTGGATCTTTTAAACTTCTGAAAGAAAAAATATTTGTTAAATCCATGTCAGCAAAATGAGATAGTTAGAAGTACTTATTTTACTTAATCTGTTGACAAAAGAAAGAAGTTACTTCTTGGTATGGTTGGGAAGTGGGAACATCGAAGAAAAGTTTACACCATTTGTTATTTATACAATTATACATCTTTTGTCATGTTATCTTTGTTTTCACGTTAAAGATGGATGATATGAACTTATCCAAACGCAGCAGAACTTTAGATAATTAGATATATCAAGTAGGAATTTCAGAGATCTCAGAATGTCCTTAAACAACTACAATGGTGTAACTAGGGGTGGGCAATTTGATTTCGGTTTATTCAGTTTGGGACATATTGTACAAAAATAAAACCATCTATGTTTGTGTGGTTTGATGTTCTGTTGACCAAAGTGAAATTTAGTTTAATTTGAAATTTATTATTTTATTTGATCAAGCTGTATATTTTAGAATTAGAATGAAAATAGCAAGCGATATGCCGATATCATCTTCTTGTATTTATTATTTAAATAAAATGTAAAGAGAAATAAAAGATAGGAAAAGAAATAATAAAATATAGTAAATTAACACTTAATTTATCTTGCTTAGATTGTTGATATTCAAATGTCTAACATAAAATATAATTGCGATTTGCTTTTCTTATGGTCAAACATCTTTTATTGCAAGTAGAGTACAAATTATAACATATAAACATATGTAATATTAGCTAACTTTGTCATAATGAATGTATGAAACGAGTAAAAGTGAAAATGATATATGGTAAACATGTATTTTCATATCTAAATTATTTATTTATATTCTAAAAATGAAGAATGAAGATAAATACAAATTATTTCTTATATATATTACTAGTTGCCCGGTCTTCAGTTTGTTATACAATTTTTGGGTTTTAAATCAAACCAAATTTTCATGGTCAACAAACAGACAATAGTGAAAAACATGAAGAAAGAGAAGAAATAGATTTGAGACTATTTTAGAGGCCTCACTTAGCCCGATTCTAACAGAAAATCTGCCTAACTCCCTCCTTTCCTCCTTGTCATACTTATAGTAATTTTATTTTTAAAGGCCGGCCCATACTGGCTCAATTACATGGCCCGAAACCCTATTTGTACCATATCACACTATTTAATATGATTCTACTATTACTACTATTATCATATCTCACCCCTTAGACAACCACCTTGTCCTCAAGGTGGATGATAGAAAATAGGCCTCAACTTCAGCTTCATACTTGTGCATCTTCCTTTTGAGTACATCATTGATTTTTGAACCTTTAACTTCAGTTCTTGAACCTTCAAAATACCAGTTGTTTTTGCCTCAGAAGGTGTATCTAGCGACATTCCATTCTTTGCAGTAGCCTTCACGTCCTTCATTGTGACAAATGTTTCTTTGATTTCCTGAGCTCTTTTGGAATCACCGCGTTGATAACTCTAACACTGAGGTGTACAAAATACATTTTTTTTTCAACCAGTACCAAGAACACTAACAAGTTTGTGACCCAAAGTTAACTCTTCACCCTTTTTATGCTCCCTGCTACGCTGACGATTCCATTGCTGTAACAGAGTCCACATCTCATCCATCAAGTTTTGGGAAATTATCATTGACCTCCCTCGAGGTTTTGCGTATTATCACCTAGACCCCTGCACTATTAAAAATATACACTTACCCCCCTCTTTATCCTTTAATGAAAGTTTAGTAACTCTTATGTTTAGCAAAAGTATAAATTTAGTTTTATAAATTTTCTCACTTGCAAATTTAATATGATAATTAATAAATTTATAAGTATTAAGAACCTTTCCACCATACTTTTTTTTAGGTACATAACTACATCGACATGTGAGAAAAATTATAGGAATAGTAACAGACACAATCGAAAGGTACGGCTTAAAACAATAAATCTCTGTTACTTTTAAAAGTTTGGAAATATATCTCAGATTGTAGAAATCTTGATGAAACTTTTCTAACGAGGAAAATACACGGGAATATAATGACTGGTTTTTGAATTAAGATTTTAGGTTGGGACCTAGACCAGACCGGTGAAAAAGAGGCCTCAGGCCTCACTTTTTGGGACCGGGATTGGCGCCCATGTTTTAACTTCGTTCATTTTTTCATTAAAACCATTGAGAACATTTTAAAATGAGTTAGAGTCCATTTAAATGTTAAAAAATAGGTAGTTAAAAATATTTAAATTATTAATTAGAAGCGAACCTAAATCAATTAGGAGATTGGAACCGATCGAAGATAAGGTCATGAGCCGCCCTAATTATTTAGCACTAATAGGTTTGGGTGTGGAACCCATCATAAACTATAATTTCTTTACCAATAATTTACATGTAAACACGATCATATTTTGTCAAATATTAATTTACAAGTTATTACTATACCTATAATGATCTCACTTTCAGAGATAACAAAGTGTCTAGAGTGCATATTGGGAATTTCTTGCAGTCAATTTTTAATTGAGTAGTAAATATCACTTTTGAGTCAATTTGGTTCATTTGAGTTGATTTCTTTCAACTTTTGACAAATTTAGCATATTTTGATCATTTTCAATTGAGTAAAGTTAGCCACTTTACAAATTCAAAGGCATAAATGAACTACCTAGAGTGAGGTCAGTTTTAGTCATTTTTTTATTTTGTTCAACTTCCGATAAAAAGGTTTTTAATATGGATAAATTTATTAATTACCCGATCAGATTTGTGATTGAATAAAATTATAATATTAAAAGCGGACATAACGAAAAATTATGAAATTATACCTATAGTTTTCTCTAAATATAGATTAGAAGTTATTTAACCATCATTAAAGGATAGGGAGGAGGTAAGAGTATATTTTTGATAGTATAGGGGTGTGATTGATAATACATCAAACCTCAAGGGAGGTCAATGATAATTTCCCTCAAGTTTTTCATCCTCTCATTTATCTTGTCGTTGAGCACTACTATTGTGTGTTTCATAGTATCCATCGTTTTCTCCACCTGCGATCGTGTGCAGGGAATCCACCGTCTCAAGAATCAATATTCTCTGATACCTATGATAGGAACTTATCCACACACACCTGAACTTTACATATATTAATTAGGAATTTCAGAGAGATCTAAGAATGTCCTTAACTGACTATAATCGCGTAACAATAAACAAACGAACAATAGCGAAAAATGGGAAGAAAGAGAAGAAATAGATTTGAGACTCTTCCAGGCACTGCTCAGTAGCCCGCACCATGTCTGAACCTCAGCCTCTGGTGCTTATAGTCGGTGCATATGCGACCGTGTGCCTCTTTATTCTTGTTTGTATTGTGATTTATGCAAAGAAGGCTCCATTTTTTATGTTTTGTTCTAGTCATGTGGACTATGTTGTGGCTGGGGGATGCTTTGTGTGGAGCTTTTGAGAAAGATGAAGATATAAAAAACATCTCGGGCTGGTTCAAAGTAGGAGCTCACTGTCTGACGAATCTGGTCGGAACCATCTTCTGGACATGCAACCTTATCCTGCACCGCGCTACTTCCAAGAGAGGTCTTCACAAGATGAAAGGTGAAACCCTACTATGGTCTTTACTACTTCTGATCAGTGTGGCTAACATAGCCTTAGAAGCTTCTGTCAAGCCTAAGAGAATTGCTAGAACAGTTTGCAAACGTTGTAAGACCAGGAGGAATGACCCAAACGCAGTCCCAACTTCAACTGCCTCCAACTCCGTTCACTCAACCCAGGCCTCAACTCCGTACTTTGGGTGTGCACCCCTTTCCATCCACTGTGGCAGCAGACCGTGCTAATTCCCTCTCGTATCTAATGTCTATTTTAAATTTATTATTCTTATTGTATTTTACGGAGTACGTAGTAACTGTGTTTCTGATTTACTTATGGATCTTACCCAAGTAAAAACGGGCGAAGTAAGATTAATGAATGAAAAAAGATATTATAGATAAATATTTCAAATTCAGCTTATTGTTCATCTTCCAGTTTTCCCGCAAACACATTTTATTATTACTAGAGAGTATATATGCTGCTTTTGTATTTACAATGAAGTCATGTTGGGATTTGTGCATAAAGTATGATGCAAGAATCTAAGAAAACCTTGTAATTATTCATTTTGATCCAAATTGGAGGCTTGGTTGATGGTAAAAAAAAGATTTTAGACTCTTCTAGAGGACTCACTCTCTAAGCCCGATTCTAACCAAAAAATCCGCCTAACTTTCCTCCTTTCCTCCTTTCCTCCTTGCTATACTTATGATAAATTTATTCTTAAAGTCCGACCCATACTGTGATAATTACATGACCCAAAACCATATTCATATCATATTACACTATTTAATACCATATATAATTCTACTATTACTATTATACTTTCTGCATTCGTTTCTATCATATCTCCCCTTTAGACAACCACCTTGTCCTCAAGGTGGTTGACAGAAAACAGCCCTCACCTTCAGCATCATCCTTGTGCATCTTCCCCAGTACATCACTCATTTCCAGACCTTTAACTTCCTCCTTTCCTCCTTGCCATACATATAATAAATTTAAGTAAAGTCTGTCCCATACTGCAACAATTACATGGCCCAAAACCCTATTTATACCATATTACACTATTTACTATAATTCTACTATTACTATTATACTTTCTACATTTGTTTCTATCATATCTTCCTCTTTAGACAACCACCTTGTCCTCTAGGTGGGTGATAGAAAATAACCCTAAGCTTCAGCTTCATTCTTGTGCATCTTCCTTCTCAGTACTTCACCAATTTCGGACCTATATATATCTTTAGTTCTTGAACCTTCAAAATACCAGTTGTTTCTGCCTCAGAAAGGTGTATCTAATGACATTCCAATTTTTTTGAATCACCGCCTGGATAACTCTAACATTGAAGTGTACCAAATACACTTGTTTTTCACTAGTACCAAGAACACTGATAAGGCTGTGACCCAAAGTTAACTCTTCACCCTTTTTATGACCCCTGGTACGCTGGCGAACCTGTTGCTGCAATAGAGTCCACATCTTATCCATCATGTTGTTCATCCTCTCCTCTATCTTGTTGCTGAGTTCTACTACTGCACGTCCCATAGTATCCATCTTTTCCTCCATATGTGATCGTCTCAAGAATCGGTATGCTCTGATACCATTGATAGGAACTTATCAATGATAATTATGGTCTTCACTCTACCATAATGAGAAAATAACAAATATAGTACTATATAGTGGTCCTTCGTTATCATCC